TAATCGCCATTGCCTGCATTGTTATTGACAATCACCAGATCTTTAACGCCAAGTTCAATCAGCCCATCGATCAGCTCTGCGGGTTGTCCTGCTGTTCCAAAGCCACCAATCATAATGGTTGCACCATCTTTGATTTGTGACAGAACCTCGGTCAATGAGGTGGCGTTTTTATCAATCATCTGACTACTTCCTGTACTATGAATCACTCATTTGTTTCATCCTAGAAACCGATGAAACATAAGTTGAGTGTTTTGTTCGGATTTCTTATCTTTATTCTTGATAAATTTTGTATTTACTTCTAGGCTTAAAGTCAGATTTTGTTCGATCATCATTTTTTATGTTCGATGATCGAACATTATCCCACTAAAACAGTCTGATTTTGATTGAGTATAATTTTAATGCAATTGGCTTTAAAATAAGGAGCTGCGTTATGGATGATGAACACAATAAAACCACCCGATTAATCCATCATACTGAAAATAAAAAGATCATTCGCCATGAAGATTTTATTGCAGGGATTGCAAAAGGTTTGGCAATTTTGGAATGTTTTGGGCCTGAACGACACCGCTTGAATATCAGCACTGCGGCTGAGAAAACCGGAATGACCCGTGCAGCAGCGCGTCGCCAGTTACTCACATTAGAATACTTAGGCTATTTAGACTTTGACGGACATTACTATTATTTAACCCCGAAAATCCTTAAATTCTCTGGTGCTTATTTAGATGGTTCCCCTTTACCTAAAATTTGCCAACCCTTATTAAATTTATTGACCAATCAAACCTCACTGATTTATTCCGTCATGGTGCTAGATGGTTATGAAGCGATTACCATTGCACGTAGTGCTGCGCACCAACAAACAGACCGTGTTAACCCGTATGGCTTGCATTTAGGTAATCGCCTGCCAGCACATGCAACCTCTGCGGGGAAAATTTTGTTGGCGCATTTAAATGTCGAAGAACAGAAGCAATGGCTTACCCAGTATCCATTAAAGCGTCTTACTAAATATACCTATACAGACAGTGAAGCCTTTATAGAATTACTGCATGAGATTAAAGAACAGGACTGGTGTTATTCCTGTGAAGAACATGAATTGGGGGTGCATGCTGTGGCAGTGCCAATTTATGACTCGAATGCGGTTGTTGTTGCCGCACTCAATATTGTCTCTCCTACCATACGTACAACCAAAGATTATTTAATTACGCATATTTTACCCTTACTGCAAGAAACAGCGCGGGATTTACGCCAAGTGATTTAATGGCTATTGAGATAACAAATTCGAAGGAGTTTCAGTGACGCTTCCCTGATCCATCTATAACGGCCGTGCATTTTAATAGGTCAATTCATCGGCATCAATGCAACTTGAAAATATCATAAATACTTATGGGTTTAATTGTTTTGATTTTTCATACGCTCTGCTAATACTTCTTTGAGTGCGTGAGTTCCATTTATGGCTGATGGGAAACCTGAATAGATGGTCATCAAAAGCATGATTTCTTTTATTTCAGTTTCGGTCAGTCCTATGTTTAGACCCGCATTAATATGAAATTTCAGTTGTGGTTGCGCTGTCCCCAACGCAGTTAATGCAGAAATCGTGGCGATTTGTCTGTACTTTTTGCTTAAACTATCTCTTGAAAAAATATCAGCATAACCATATTCAAGCGTGAATTTTACCAATTCAGGTGAAAAAGTATTATAAGCAGCTTTTAATCGTTCAACTTGAAGACTGTCCAAGTTAGATAATTCTTGTTCACCTAATTTTAATCGATTGGTTGGCTTGGCTTTGCTTGCTGTTTTTCCGATTTCATCGTTAATGCCGTGTTTTTCTCTTTCTAGCAAAACTTCTTTTAAAGCATTCATTGCATTGATGCTACTTGGAAAACCTGAATAAACAGACATTTGTAAAATCACTTCTTTGACTTCGTTAATCGAACTCCCAGTATTTAATGCCCCGTTTATATGAACTTTTAACTGTGGTTGCGCATTTCCCATGGCTGTCAATGCGGACACAACCGCAATTTCTTTGGATTTCAAGTCAAGCCCATCTCTTGAATAGACATCGCCGAAAGCATATTCGATGATATATATTCCTAAATCAGGCGAAATATCTTTTAGGCTATTAATAACTTTTTCGCCTGCTTCTCCATCAATTTCTTTGAGTTTGTCCCAACCTCGTTTATATCTGTTTAGCTGTATTTCATCTTCAGTAGGCTTTGCAAAACTATTGGTTTTTTGATTGCTCATACGCTCTACTCCTAAAATTTGATCACCTGATTTAGTCCCATCAAGATAAAATTTTGCCGACTCAGCCAAGAGCCCATCAATAACAGCTTGTTCAACAGCTACTTTAGAATCGATAGGATGAACAGCAGCTACAGCCTGTGCAGATACGATTGTTCCAAAATATAAAAAAGTTAAAACAATAGTGAATCGTTTGAATAACATCATTTTTTCCTCTTTTTAATATGGTTTAAAATAATGAAGCGATAGTCCCTCTGAGAATAAAATGATTGCTCATCATCGTTTTTGTATGGATCTATTGTTGTTCTTGCCCGATATCGACCAAATCACTAAATATTGGACAATTTCATTCAAAGTTAAATGTGGATAAGCTGTTGTCGTTACATCATTGTTATAATCAGCCGAGCTTGGATAGTATCACATGCATCAATGTAATATTTATAATTACTACTCAATAGCCTAATCTATGTTTATAAAATATGGATATTTTTTTTGATTTACTTCATGTAATCACATGCTTTTAATGAAAAATATATAATTTCTTTTATCCAAATCCAAGTTTAATAATTTTTTATTATGTAGAATAATTAAAAATTTAATCACACTAGACAGTGTTCATAATGACAAAAGTGATTTATGGCTGAAAGTGTTTTCAATGTCGAAATAACAAATTCGAGGGAGTTTCAAGGATGCTTCCCTGATCCATATACATTACCTGTGTATAGAGTACTAAGGTGAATGGAATAGTTTCAGCACCTAGATTTTGAGTGTGAATTAGTCACTGCAAGGCTTGATCAACTGAGATCAAGCCTTTGTCTACCCCTCAATCATAAACGATCACAACCTGATTTATTGATAGCCTCCAACATGTGGAATGTTTTTTTGCACATCAAACAGATGGACCAAGGCTGGTAGAATCGCAATCAATGACTCTTTAGCGCCTTGGCGACTGCCCGGCAAAGTAATCACCAAACTCGTGTCAATATAGCCTGCAATGCCTCGACTAAGTGCCGCATAAGGGGTACGTCTCTGACCAAAACTACGCGAAGCTTCCATTAAGCCGGGGATTTCGCGTTGGAGTAAAGGTTGAATGGTCTCCACCGTTAAGTCTTTTGGGCCTAGTCCTGTTCCACCAACCGTCAAAATCAGCGGATAATGATTTTTTTGTTGTTCAATTAACGCCAACAACTGTTCTGGAGAGTCAGCAATCACTTGATAGTTCACTTGACTAAAATTGGCTTGTTCAAGAATTTCTAAAACATTTTGCCCTGCTGTATCAGGTTTTTTTCCTGAAGCAACGGTATCTGATAAAACAATCACTGATGCAGATAAAGTCTGTTTGAGCGTTCGGGTAAAATGCGATTTACCGCCTTTTTTCAGTTGTAATTTACATTGGTCAAGGCATAAGTCTTCAGGTTCGCAGTGTGGTTTAAGCATATCATATAGAGTTAAGCCTGCTAAACTGACTGCGGTAAGCGCTTCCATTTCTACGCCCGTAGGAGCAATGGTTTCAACCGTTGCAATAATTTCAACATGTTGTTCATGTAATTCATATTCGACATCTGCACGATATATCGGTAAAGGGTGACACAAAGGAATCAGTTCATCTGTGCGTTTTGCTGCCAAGATTCCAGCAATACGTGCCGTTTTTAGTGCATCACCCTTTTCAGTATTTCCTGTGCGTAACAGTTCTATGCAATGTGCAGGCGCATATAAAATTCCTGTTGCTACTGCTGTCCGATAGCTATCTGCTTTCATCCCTACATTTTTCATTGCCTGTTCCTGATATGGCGGTATTTTTTACATGACAAAACATACTTTGTGAAGAACACACTTTGTGAAGTTTGCTCGATATGTTTTTACATATGCCATTGATAAATTGTCTGTTCACACTGTTTGCTTAACAACACTTGCTGTTCAGCTTCATGATTCTTTTGTTGACTACTGTATTCTGAATACGTGTGCCCTAAATGTGTAGATTTGGAATGATGTGCAAAAGAATGATTGTGCTCAGAATGTCGATGCGCTGATTGCTGCGCTTGAGAATGATGATGCTGAGGTTGATTGTGCTGAGATAAATGGTCATCAGAAGCGCCATGATCATGCTCACAGTCATGGTGGTGAAATGAATCTTTTTGTACTGAATGATCTTGTTCCTCATCATCTTTTCGAATACAACAACCCGCAACATACTGGCTACTGCCATCCAGATAAAATTCTTCTTTCCATACGGGAACCTCATGTTTTACCCGTTCTACTGCTTCTTCACAGGCTGCAAATGCTTCACGGCGATGCGCTGCATAAGCAATCGCAATAATGGCTTTTTCACCGATGTTTAAAGCACCAATACGATGAATAACCCGTACATAAGCCACTGCAAATTTTTGTTGAATCTCTTGCTCAATTTGGCGAATCATTTTTTCTGAAACAGGCGCATAGGCGGTATATTTCAGTGCTTTGACCGCTTTGCCTTCATGATGATTACGTACTGTTCCAATAAAGATGCCAATGCCACCGCATTCAGGAAAGTCTTGAATCGGGTCAAAACTGTCTTGAGTTAAGGCTGTATCCTGAATTCTGTTGAATTGTTTAAGCGTCTGTTCAAATGTATGCATATCAACCTCCCGCAACAGGTGACAGTAAAACCACAGTACTGTCCGCTGTTAATAAGGTCTGACGTGGGATAATCTCTTCGCCTATTGCACATGCACAACGCTCAAGCATGTTTCCTGCATGTGGATAAGCGCGTACCACATAATCCAAAACATCCGAAATCCTCATTTCAGACTCACATTGCAGAGTTAAATCAGTCGGCAGTAAACGTTCAATTGCACCAAAGCATTCAATTTTTACGGTCATGTGCTGCTGGATATCTTTGAATTGATTGGCAATGTTTGCCGAGTCTGGTGTATTTGGAATAGTAAATTGATCTGACATATTAACCTCCAATCATATACATACTGATTTTTCGAGATGATGAATGTTTTGATTTTGGCTGTTGATAAATCTCATCAAAGCCTTGTTTTTTCTGCCAAATATAATCAGACAAAGTATCTTGTAATTGCCTATGCTGTGGCGAATCTAATGTTATTGGCGAATATACAGCTGCATTTGGTGAACTGGTTTGCGCTAATCGGAGAGGCTCTAAAACAGGTGAATCTTGATTCAGTGCCTTAATTTGTGCTTTTAGGCTGATCCCCTTTGGCGCAAATAGACAATTATAAAAATCACCTTGTGCGGTTAAACGCACACGGTCACATGTGCCACAAAATGAATTGGTAATGGTCGAAATGATGCCAATCGGATAACCATCAATAAAATACTGCCGTGCAGGCTCGGAAGACTGTCCTTGCTGTAAAGTGACAACAAAGTCCTGCTGTAATTGAGCTAAAATTTCTTGCTCACTGACAATATTAGTTTGCGACCAAAGACCAGCACCATCCAAAGGCATAAATTCAATAAATCGCACGGTAAAATGGTGTTGAATCGACCAGTGTGCTAAGGGCAAAATCTGATCATCATTGATGCCTTTGATCAATACAGCATTGATCTTGATCTTAAAGCCTGCTTGTTGTGCTGCGACAATGCCCTCTAACACGGGATGTAGTTCTTTTTGAGTCAGTGCCTTAAATTGTGCTGGATCTAGACTATCCAGACTGATATTCAAGTCATCTAAACCCGCTTGTTTTAACTGGCTTGCGTATTGTTTAAGATAGTGTGCATTGCTGGTCATTGAAATACGTTTGAGCCCCAGCTTTCTTAATTTTTGTAGCTCATCAATAAAGTGCACCACACCTTGACGCATTAACGGCTCACCACCTGTGATCCGAATCTGTTCAATGCCATGCCGCACCATAAACTCACAAAACACATAAAGTTCTTCAAAACTGAGTAAATCGTGTTTTTTCATCCATTCAGGATGTTCGGGCATACAATAGACACACTTAAAATTACAGCGATCTGTCACTGAAATTCGGAGTTTACGCTTGCTACGACCATATTGATCGACAAAAGCCGTACCCACTTCGTATTGTGTCATTGCATTCATTTACACATCCCAAGCACGATTTAAATTCAAGATTGTTTAAAACTTAAAATCTGCGCTATTTTATTGATATTGAAATTGCAAAAAGTGTTCCAACTTTGATCATTCACTAATACGCTTAAGCTAAAACCTGCTCGAATTCTCTCAAAAATAGAGATTTGCAAAAAACGAGTCCAAACCAAGCCAATCAATGTAAAAACTTGAGCTGTTGATATTGCTGTAATTCGTCCAAAGAATTGATGCTGTGAAAAAACAGTGCATGATTTTCAAATAACGCTTCCTGAGCGTGCAAATCAGAAAAACATGCCTTTAAACTGCGTTGTCCTTGTTCAAGATGAGTGCAGATTTGATTTAAAGCACTGCGCTTTAACAAGCAAAATGGATATAAGGCTTTGCCATTGATATTGACATAAGCCACTTGTGCCAAAGGATGACCCACTAAAGCCATATGTAAGCTTTCAATAACATCAGGTGGAATAAATGTCACATCACAGGGCACAAAAAGTACATAGTCAGATGTCACATAAGACCAGGCACTTTTTATTCCCATCAACGGGCCATAAAAGCCTTTTTCATCATCCTGATAGCAATACAAACTGGGAATAAGTTTTTGATAAATTGAATAATCACGGTGGCTATTGACCCAGACCTGCGCGACTCGATTTTTTAGTTGTTGATGAATCTTAATCAATTGGATTTGATCATCAAATTTCTGTAACAGTTTATTGATTCCATTCATACGCCTTGCCTGACCGCCCGCAAGAATGACTAGATCAGTTTGTGGATATTGCTTGGCTTTCTTGGGTTTTATAATTCTTTTCATTGTGTAAGCTCCGCTTGACAGGCTTTAATCAATCCGCGAATTTCAGGTAGACATGAACCACAATTACCGCCTGCTTTTAGACATGCAGTCACTTGTTTTTCATGATTAATATTGTTTTCTTTAATAGTTTGAATAATTCGATTTTTGCCCACCTTAAAGCAACTACATACCAATGGCCCTTCACTATTGCCCATCGACATGGCTTGTCCAGCAAGTAACGCTTTACGATGCATCGCACTTAAACGATCACGTTTAAATAAACTGGCAACCCAATCACGATCAGGCAACAAGGCTTTGGGTGCGATATATAAACTTGCAATAAGGCGACCTTCTTTTAACACCACACTATGGCTGATGTGTGCAGTTTGATCTTCCAAGTTCAACCACTCAAAACTTTCATCCTCAAAGGGTAAAAGTTGTTTGAGATGTTGGGTAGTTTGGGTAAAACGACGACGATCCGCCAATTCATAGCGTACTGCTTTGGCGGTCTGAATTTTTGTCCACCACACCGTATTTTCGATGCTATTTTTAACAATGTGTTCATACCCTTCACGGACATAAAATACCCCTTGCCACTGGGTATAAAATGGCTGAATCAGCACAGGGGTATGTTTGAATTCTGGCTCGCCTGAAATTGCATCTACCACTGGATTGACCACTTTGCCAATACGGGCATCCGAAGCAAATTGATCATTCCAATGAATCGGGGCGAAAATTTGTCCACGGCGGATATTGTCACTGAGTACAGTACGCAAGACACAATTGCCCCAAGCCGATTTGATTTCGACCAATTCGCCTTCTTTCAAGCCATATTTCAATGCATCACTGGGATGAATTTCACAAAAGGGTTCTGCTTTATGGGTGCTTAAATTGGCAGATAGACCTGTGCGGGTCATGGTATGCCACTGATCTCGAATCCGTCCTGTATTGAGAATTAAAGGATATTCAGTATTGCTTTGATGGACTGGATCTATCGCCATCGTGGCAATAAATTTAGCTTTGCCATCTGCATGGCTAAACTGCCCCTGTGAAAACAATTGTGCGAATGCATGCTCAGCCTGATTGCGCATGATCACAGGCCATTGAATGGGCGCCAATTGATCATATTCATCCAATGAAAGATCAGTTAAACCTTGTAAATTGAAGTAACGAAAGCTTTGTGCATTTGTTCGCGCATTAATCTCTGCATTTTGATAGGCAGATAACAATGCATGTTCTTTAAAAATCTCGTGGCTATTTGCAAAATCAAAGCCAGTAAATCCAAGCTTTTTAGCCACTTGTGCCACAGCCCACCAATCCGCTTTGGCCTGCTCAGGTGGGTCTAAAAAAGCACGTTGTCGTGAAATACGGCGTTCTGAATTGGTGACCGTACCATCCTTTTCGCCCCACCCCAATGCAGGTAAGAGCACATCGGCAAACTGAGTGGTGTCGGTATCTTTGCAAATATCAGAGACCACAACAAACTCACAACTGTTTAAAGCACGTTTGACCTGATCGGCATTGGGGAGGCTGACCACCGGATTGGTCGCCATAATCCAAATGGCTTTAATCTTGCCACTTTCCACTGCTTCAAAAAGATCAACGGCTTTTAATCCAACGTGTTTGGCAATGCTTGGACTGTTCCAAAAACTTTGCACAAGCTGTTGATGTTGTTGATTGTCTAAGTCCATGTGTGCTGCCAGCATATTGGCAAGACCACCCACTTCACGCCCACCCATTGCATTAGGTTGTCCTGTCATAGAGAACGGTGCTGCGCCCAACTTTCCAATTTTACCCGTCAACAAATGACAATTAATGATGCTATTGGCTTTGTCCACACCACGTGAAGACTGGTTTACCCCCATTGAAAATAGGGTCATGACTTTTTCAGTTTGGGCAAACTTTTCAAAAAAGAGCTGGAGTTTTTCTAGCGAAATTCCTGTTTTCACTGCAACATCTTGGATATCTGTTTCAGCTTGCGAACTTTTTAGTGCCGTATCTAGCCCTTGGGTATGAGCCTCAACAAATGCGCTATCCGCATAACCCTGTTGATGTAAATATTGTAATAACCCATTAAACAAGCAAACATCTTGACCAATCAAAATAGGCAAATGCAAATCAGCTGCTTCACATGTGGCAGTAAAGCGTGGATCTATCACCACCACAAATAAATCACTTTGCTTTTGTTGTCTTAATTCTTTGGCTTTCATGATGCGTTGATACATCACGGGATGACACCATGCTGTATTTGAACCGACCAAAATCACCATATCAGTATGTTCAAAATCATCATAACTTGCAGGTACTAGATCCTCACCAAAAGCACGCTTATGTGCGGCAACCGCCGAAGACATACACAATCTTGAATTGGTATCGATATTGGCTGTGCCCAAATAGCCTTTAACGAATTTATTTACCACATAATAGTCTTCCGTCAACAACTGACCCGAAACATAAAATGCGACACTGTCACGACCATATTGCTCGATATAGTGTTGGAATTTATTGGCAATTAAATCTGTTGCGCTATCCCAATCTGTGACTTGCTGATGGGGATGACGCCCAAGCATCGGATGTAAAACACGTGTGCCCAACCCCAGCGTATCGGCTAAATTACTGCCTTTAATACACAGTTTCCCGTAATTCGAAGGATGATTGACATCGCCAACCACAGACACTTTTTGTCCTAGCGTGGTGTCTTGCACTGTTGCTGTGACACCACAGCCTACACCACAGTAAGGACAAGTGGTTTGTGTACTTATGATCTTATGTTCTGTGGAGCTAGGCAGTTCCATTACAGGGATACTATTCATTGCTGCTGTGCTCCTCAATGCTATACATTCACTTGAATATGGCTTTCATTTTTAATCGCCCCCTCCTGTTAAGATGAAGGGGGTTAAGCGATATAAATCAGCCTGCTTTTTTTAATGCAAAATCCCGACCAAATAACAATTTATTGCGAATCGAAGAAATTGGGGTTTGATCAGCAATCAATTCAGCGTACCAAGTGCCATCCTCTGTATCACCAAACAGTACCGCACCAACGACTTTATCCTTTTGAATAATAATGCGTTTGTAGATTTGACGTTTTTCATCATTCAGAATAATGTCTTCGAAATCTTCTAGAGGTTGACTGTTTTCTAAATCAATGCGGCCTGCTGAAAAAACATCACAACCACTGACTTTTAACTGGGTTGGAACAGTCGGTGCTTTAAAGGTCAAACTGCCGTGTTCGGCCAAATGTGATGCACAAATAAAGGCTTGACCCCATAAAGGTTCTACCAAACCAAAAGTTTGGTTACGATGCTCAATACATTCACCCACTGCATAAATACTTGGATCATAGGTTTGCATGGTGTCATTGACCAACACACCGCGATTACAGCGTAAACCCGCACTTTGTGCCAAAGCCATATTTGGGCGAATACCCACGGCAAAAACCACCAGATCTGCATCTAAAAGCGTGCCATCTTTTAACCGAACCTGGGTGACATGACCATTTTCACCGAGTAATTCTTCTGTATTGGCTTCTGTGATGATCGGAATGCCCTTTTGCTCAATTGCTGTTTTCAACATTTGACTGGCTTTAGCATCAAGTTGGCGATCCATAATGCGATCCATCAAATGCAAAACCGTCACATTCATACCACGTTGCTTTAAACCATATGCGGCTTCTAGCCCCAATAGACCACCACCAATCACCACGGCATTGTTTTTAGATTTGCAGTAGTCGAGCATATTATTGACATCATAAATATCACGAAAGCTCAACACGCCATCCAAATCTGAGCCTTTGACTGGTGGAATAAATGGTTTTGAACCCGTTGCTAAAATCAAACGGTCATAGCTCACCACCACACCTTTTTCGGTATAGACTTGCTTACGGGGACGGTCAATACGTACCGCAGCATCACCCGCAATAAAGCGAATATTTTTATCGGCATACCATGAATGGGGATGTAGCATAATGTCGTCAATGGTTTTATCCCCTGATAAGACAGGCGACAGCATAATCCGGTTATAGTTACCCCAAGGCTCCTCACCAATCACCGTCATGTCGTAACGATCAGGTGCCATATCAAGCAAATCTTCCAAGCAACGCATCCCTGCCAATCCGTTCCCCACCAGAACTAAATTGATTTTTTCCTGAGCCGTACCATTATTGGTGATATAAGTTTTTTGTGGCGTTGGACTGACCCAAACCCGACCATTTTCAATTTTGCTTGGAAAAACCAATAATTTTTGATCTTTGTCTTCTAAACAACGGCCTGTAGCTAAACTAAAATGTTGCTTATAAATCGGTGATGCAACTACACGTTCACCTTGTAAATCACCAATAATTCCACGTGACATGACAAAGGCTTTACTAAATGGGTCTTGGTTGCTCAGCGCATATACACGCTTTTCGCTGCCTACCCGAAAAATAGCCACTTGTTGTTGTCCTAGTAATGCGCCTACACCTGTATTGGGCGTAATGTCTTGCAATGCACAAATATCCAGCCAATCGAGTTCATTCATATCTTTTAAAATGGTCATTGTATTTATCCTTTTAACAACGTTGATCAGATCTTCCACGAGACTTGTTTTTAAACTGTGGAATAAGGCCAATAAAGCAAGTGTTCATATGCTTATGCTTCAACCTTATGCTTCAACTACAGGAATACGGCTCTGATCACGTTCTGATTCAGTTTTTGGGCGAATTTGCCCACGGACTTTAGCAAACTGAATATGTGGATCTTGCTGTTGCTCAGCTTTGGCATTAATAAAGGTCACAAAACGTTTACGTACTTCAGGATCTTCCACCGCAGTGCGCCATTCGTCTTGATAAGTGCCCACCACATGGCTCATTCGACGTTCAAGTTCAGCAGCAACCCCTAAGGAATCATGTACAACAACATCTTTAAGATAATCCAAACCACCTTCCATATTGTCACGCCATACTGAAGTCCGTTGTAAACGATCCGCTGTTTGGATATAGAACATAAAAAAGCGGTCGATATATTGAATTAAAGTTTGCGTATCTAGGTCAGAAGCTAAAAGTTCTGCATGGCGAGGTTTCATTCCCCCATTGCCACAGACATATAAGTTCCAGCCTTTTTCAGTGGCAATCACCCCAACATCTTTGCTTTGTGCTTCGGCACACTCACGGGTACAACCCGAAACTGCCATTTTTAATTTATGTGGGGAACGCAAACCTTTGTAACGATTTTCAAGGAAGATGGCTAAACCGACCGAGTCATCGACACCATAACGACACCATGTGCTCCCAACACAAGATTTAACGGTACGTAATGACTTGCCATAGGCATGACCAGACTCAAAACCAGCATTGATCAGCTTTTCCCAAATTTCTGGCAATTGATGGACTTGTGCTCCAAATAAGTCTACCCGTTGCCCACCGGTTAGCTTGGTATATAAACCATATTCTTTGGCAATCTGACCGACTGCAATCAAACCATCTGGCGTCACTTCACCGCCTGCCATACGTGGTACAACAGAATAAGAACCATCTTTTTGAATATTGCCTAGATAGTAGTCATTACTGTCTTGCAACCCAGCATGATTTGAGGTGAGAACAAAGTCATTCCAGCAAGATGCCAAGATATTGGCCACTGTCGGTTTGCAAATATCACAACCTAAACCATGCCCATGTTGTTGAATCAAATCATCAAAGCTTTTAATTTCATTGACCCGTACCAAGTGATACAACTCTTGGCGTGAGTAAGCAAAGTGTTCACAAAGATGATTATTGACCGTTACCCCTTGGCGTTGTAATTCAGATTTTAAAACTTGGGTCACTAAGGGTGCACATCCACCACATGCGGTTGCGGCTTTGGTACATTTTTTTAACGCACCTAATGAGGTCGAACCCTCTGCAATTGCACTACAAATATCTGCTTTAGAAACGTTATTACATGAACAAATCGTGGCACTGTCTGGCAATAAATCTACACCACTACCTCCCGCTTTTGCTGAAGATTGTGCATAGCCCGGCATGATTAAACTTTCTGGATTTTCAGGTACAGCCAATCCATTGAGCATCATTTGCAATAAGTCGTTATATTCTTTGGCGCAACCGACCAGTACCGCACCTAGTAATTGGGTTTTCTCTGCATTGACCACGATCTTTTTATAGACCATTGCATCCTCATCGGCATAGAAATAGCTCAATGCATTTGCAGTCATGGCATGCGCATCGCCTACCGATGCCACATCGACACCCATCAGTTTTAGCTTGGTGCTCATGTCTGCGCCAGCAAATGTAGGGCAACTTTGTTGCATCACATGTTTTGCCGCAATCCGTGCCATGTCATAACCGGGCGCCACTAAACCATAAATTTTATTGTTCCATAAGGCACATTCACCAATTGCATAAATGTCTGCATCTGAGGTTTGGCAGTAATCGTTGATCACGATACCACCACGCTCACCTAAAGCTAAACCACTTTGGCGCGCCAATTCATCACGTGGGCGAATCCCTGCTGAAAATAGAATAATATCTGTTTCAAGTTCTGAACCATCTGCAAACTTCATCACATGGGTGCTATTCACACCGTCTTCTATAGATGAAGTGGCCTTTTGGGTATGGACTTTCACGCCTAAATTTTCAATCTTGGCGCGTAAAACTTTTCCGCCCAAATCATCAATTTGCACTGCCATTAAACGGGGTGCAAATTCAACAACATGGGTTTCCAAGTCTAAATCACGAAGCGCTTTGGCAGCTTCCAAACCCAACAAACCACCGCCAATGACCACACCAGATTTTGCCGATAAACTCGCTGCCCGAATCGCATCCAAGTCATCAATGGTACGGTAAACAAAACAGTTGTTACGGTCGTGACCTGAAATTGGTGGAACAAAAGCATAAGAACCCGTCGCAAGCACCAATTTGTCATAGCTAATCACATCGCCATGATTGGTGGTGATGCATTTATTGCAGGTATCTATATCAGTAGCTTTGGTGTTTAAGCGCAGGTCGATACCATAAGCATCGGCAAAGTCAGCACGACAGAGGGTTAAATCTTTTGCAGACTTCCCTGTAAAATATTCAGTCAAATGTACACGGTCATAAGCTAAACGGGGTTCTTCTGCCAAAATCGTGATTTCAACTTCATCACCTGCATGTTCCAGCACAGATTCAATAAATTTGTGCCCAACCATTCCATGACCAATCATCACTAATTTCATATCGATTCTCCTCGATTGTTTTTGCTCTTGTTATTCAATTAAGTCGCACTGTTTTGTTTAAGACTTACAGCATTTTGTTCCATGCTATTTCGCTCAAGTACCGCAGCTTCAAATAACTTTTGCTCTTTCTCTTTATGTTCAACCGAAAAACGGATCATCAATACACAACTTGCAGCAATCACCACCAAACCACCTAAAACCATCAGCGTCGTTTGAATATCCAACATGCCTTTTAATAAGAAACCAGCAGCAACAGCACCGACATTACCGCCTGCACCGATAATGCCAGCCACACCACCCAAAGCATCGCGATCAATAAATGGAACCAGTGCATAGGTCGCACCGCAAGCCATATGGGTAAATAAAGCAAATACTGTCATGACCAAAATCGCCAGAATTGCGGTATTCATTTGAGAAAAGACAATCAGAAATACGCCTTCTAACAGGATCATGGCAAACAATACTTTAGTACGACCATCGAGACCTTTTTTAGTCGCCACCTTGTCTGAAACAATACCGCCAAGTGCACGGGCAAACAGTGCCAGTAAACCAAAAATCCCTGCGGCCATACCCGCTTCTTTTAAACCAAATTTGAAATGATCCACGTAGTACATTGCGACAATGTTGTGAATAAAAATTTCGATCCCAAAACAAGCAGCATAAGCACCAAATAGAATCCAGACACGGTAGTTTTTTGCAGCATGTATTAAAATCGCCATACCACCTTTTTTATCACTGCCTACATGCAGACCTTGCGCACGAAGTTCTTTAAAATCACCTTGTGGGCAATCTTGAGTAAACTTCCAATACATTGCACCGACGATTAACATCATCACACCAGGTACAATCAGCGCAATTCTCCACCCCATGGCTTGTTCAACACCAAACATCACCAGTGCAGCAAGCATCAATGGCATCAAGGCTTGAGTTGCGCCACCACCCGCATTGCCCCAACCTGCGGTGGTTGCATTTGCAGTTCCCACCACATTTGGCGCAAACATAATACTGGTGTGATATTGCGTGATGACAAAGCTGGCACCAATTGCACCAATCAATAGACGGAAAAATAGAAAGGATTCATAACTATTGGCAGATGCCACACCAAATACAGGGATACTGCCGATAATCAGTAATGCGGTATAGGTTTTACGAGGACCGTATTTATCGCATAAGGGACCGACAATCAGACGTACTAAAATCGTGATGGCAACCGCGGCAATATTGATATTGGCAATTTGATCTTTAGTCAGATGGAATTCACCTGCAATAACAGGCATTAACGGCGCACAGGCAAACCATGCAAAGAAACAGACAAAAAAGGCGAGCCAACTCATATGGAAGGCCCGCATTGCTGCGCTGCTAAAATTGAAAAGATGAATTTTTGTCGCTTTTTTCGCATCTAAATTTGAAGACATAGCTTCGATCTCCTGAACTGAACGCATATAAGTTGCTGTTATGCACGAGGCATATCAGTAACGATCAGAACGGACGTCGTTGGCCGTCTTACAAATTTTGAAAGTCTTCTTTGACTTGGATTAAACCAATGCATAGTTCATGCCAGTTTTATATTTTGGCTATATATTTTTTTATTTTGCTTGAATACTCAGTACTTATGATTTAATGGTCGTGCATAAATAGCGCAATCAACCATCATGTTTTCTGTCTGTGCGGATAAAATGTAAATCATAAAACTGCATGTTTAGGAGGCAAATTGCGTCAATAAAGTGCATCACTTTTCTTTAACATCCTGCGACTATGATTTTAAACAGCAAATTTAATCCGAGATATTGGCATCTAAATTGCTTATATGCTGAAAGTTCATGTCAGGACAGATCTGAGTAGCGACATGCCAAAATTAAGAATTGCCCTGATCGATGATGATATAGAGCGGGCATCTTTTATCAAATCATCTTTGATCGAACATGGTTTCGAGGTGGTCGCATGCCTGATGATTGACCATTTAAACAGTACAGATCTTCAACACTTACATGCCGATGTGATTTTGCTGGATATGGACCATCCACATCGAGATATTATTGAAAGCTGCGTAAGTCAGTTTGATTTGCCCACTGTGCTTTTCACTAAAAACTCGCAAAAAGACACCATCAAAAGTGCCATTGAAGCAGGTGTAACTGCCTATATTGTCGATGGTATTGATCCTGAAAAACTGGAAAGTATTTTAGAAATTTCGATTGAGCAATTTAAAAAACATAAAAAACTGTTAAAAGATCTCAATGAAACCAAATGCAAACTAGCAGACCGAAAAGATATTGAAAAAGCCAAAGTGATGCTGATGCAGATGCATCAAATTGAAGAAGAACAAGCCTTCAGTTTGTTACGAAAAAATGCCATGAGTCACCGTATCACCATGGGGGAAATGGCAAGAAAGTTAATCGATGCTCAAGCCTTGCTACAAGCTAATTTCAAGGAATAAACAATGAACA